TTTCCCCCTAGTAACCCCCTCCCCCCCTTTCCGAAAAAATAAGAAATCGATGAAGTTCGCACTGAACAGATTTTACGCGCCACAGAATGTTCTTATTTCGGGAATATCCAATGGCTTTAGTGCGTCCCCCGACCCGTAATGGGTACCGAAAGTCTGTCTAGAGCAGACAGAGAGAAATGAGATGCTTTTTTTGTCTCCATTTTTTCGCTTATCCAGACAGTGAAAAGATTGATTAATCGAGTCTGAGCTGAAATGAAAACACATTACTGAGTTGCCGAGATCGGAAGATTTCTGAGAAAAGAAGGGAAGACCAGCTGTTTAGGTACGCTTTGCTTTTCTAATTCCTTCTCCGGCACTGTTTCTTTTTGCTTTGTCTGCTCATTGATATTTCGATTCCTCAGATTCTGAGAATTAAGCTTACAAAGTTCTGTCCGATATTTTTGGCCGAATTGAGTTACTAAGACAATGAGGACACAAACCAAAGATTCTATCTCTTCTATCAAAATCGTAAGATTATTGAGAGCCGTTATCAAGATATTCAAAGAATTTCATTCGAAAAAGCTTGACATGTTGTGATACTTAAACATTTTGACGTCAAATTTCTCAAAACGCGGTAATACCAAAGATAGTACATAACAAGATGGTCCACTCAGCAAAAAAAAGTGTCCGTCGGAAGTCCGCTCTTTGCTTCAGATGGCGCTGCAGTCTGTTTTGAAGCTCTCTTTCGTTTCTCCTGAAGAAGAATAGGAATAGCACCTCCTGGCGTGCGCAGATCAACTGCTGTTCATCAGCTGCTGCTGTTCGGGTTCATTCAGTGCGGAGTTTTAGGTTTTAAAAAAATTCATTCTCAAGTCAAATTAAACGAAGAAAATAGTCGCCCCTTCCTCCGGAAAAGGTTTTTTGTCAGCGTAACCATTTTAAAAAAGTGTTCTTTCGAAATATGAATTTTATTTATTAAAAAACTTGTTAGTAATATTACTTTCGCTTTGATTTTTTAAACGCAAGTAGGGTAACTCAGTTCGCGAAGGGTACGCATTTGCGAAGAGGGCACCACCGAATTTTGAGGACACTTCTATAATTCACTCAAAGAGAGGAGTGGACCCTCTTGTTACGTAGACTCTTTGGTAATGCTGAGCGGGTAAAACTTTGTAATTTTGGGGTAGGAGCACAATATCGACAGAGACCAACTTCTTACAACACTGCAAAACAAATCATTAAAAGCAACAACAAACAAGATTGGATGAACAGATGGACCCTGGGAAAGACAGGCAGGGCAGTCTTCAAACTTATGATCACAACATAAAGGAATGACAATATCAACCACCAACCGAGAAAGAAACAGACCACGATCTTCCGCCTACGAACAGAACATAATATACAGTTCAACTTCCACCTGAACAGAATAAACCCGGAACTTCCCCCAATGTGTCCCTTGTGTGACTATACGTATGAGACTGTGGATCATCACCTGTTTCACTGCACAGCACTAAATGACGTCAGAACTACCCTTCTCCCTCCGAGACCTAACATTGACAACACACTCTATGGAACATTACAGCAACTGCAGCAAACCTGCACTTATCATTACAAGACATTGGACAGAAGGGCGATAACAGCAACAATAACAACAACATCGACAGAGACCCCGATAGTCATCCTCGCAGTAACATTACGTTGTCAACAAAGAACTGAGCAAAATAGGATATTACATTTTCCACAATACCAACATTAATTCCTTTACATATTAATGTAAACTTATTCCAACTCAAGTATCGCCAAACCTTTTTAAAAATGAACCAAAAGAATGCCTTGTATAAGCCGAATGAATATTTTTTTCCTCAGCAAAAAACATTATGATTAAGGTACCTTAACCCTATCCGTACGTTCTGGAGTCATTTTGTACTCCCGGGGTTGTATTCTTCACATTTTAGAATACTTCTAGTACGAAGAACTCTTTGAAACTTTCAGTATTCCTAAAAAAAACACCCAAAAACCAAAACAAAACATTGACAGACTGCTATGCAAAGCGTACGGATCGGATTAATGAGTAAATTTCCTCTTTGGAAAGAGAGGCACAGAGTTCCCCACGTCGTATGGATACGATAGTAAAACAAGATGTACCAATAGGGTTAAAAATGCCCATTATAGTGCTTTCTCATACTTCTTTTATTTGTTTCTGTATTTCTTTTTCATGGCAGTCCCTATGCATGGTTGGTCAGCGGGGGGTGTGGTATGGTTTGCTTCTTCTTCGTCCTTATTCTATCGTTCAATTCTTTCCTCCGTTTTTCTTTGAGTGTTACTGTCTAGTTACGCCTCTAATCTTCAGCGCTTGCATATTTGTTACATACGTGTGTGTGTGTGTGTGTGTGTGTGTGTGTGTGTGTGTGTGTGTGTGTGTGTGTGTGTGTGTTTGTTTGTTTGTTTGTTTGTCTGAGGGAGAGAGAGAAATTTTCAGAGAGAGAAATCTTCAGAGAGAGAGACAGAGAGAGAGAGAGAGAGAGAGAGAGAGAGAGAGAGAGAGAGAGAGAGAGAGAGAGAGAGAGAGAGAGAAAATAAAAGAGAGAGATACACACAGAGACAGAGACAAAGAGAGATGGAGACAGACAGAGACAGACACAGAGGCAGAGACAGAGACAGAGACAGAGACAGAGACAGAGACAGAGACAGAGACAGACACAGAGACAGAGACAGAGACAGAAACAGAGACACAGACAGAAACAGAGACAGAGACAGAGACAGAGACAGAGACAGAGCGTTGATCTGTGGTTGTTGGTACATACAGGTATTTACTATAATAGTACATCACATTTTTCCTTTGTATAGATCTATGAAATGTTCTTAGCTCATCTCATCTAATCACAAGTACCTCACCTCCTTTCACACCATATTCTTTTTTTGCTAATTCAGAAATCACAGCTGGAGAACAGGCAACACACACCCTTCCCCCCAAAAAAACCCACAAAAAAACCCAAACAAAAAACAAACAAATACACAAGCAAACAACCCCCCCCCCCCCCAAAGACAAAAAAAAACAACAGTCGAGAGAAATGAACGAGAGCAGCCTGAGAACAGCCGCTCTGGGAGAAGGAAAAAACCTGAGCATCCATGATGACCTTGACCCTCAAGACACCGACAAGGTCGAGGCCGTTCCCATTGTACAGCTGGTAGTGGAGGTCGTGGTCTTGTGCTCTGGTGTGGGCGTCAACCTTACTGTGCTGGTCTGTGGGTTTTGTTTGTATTCTTTTGTCTGTTTGCTTGTTTGTCTGTTTGTTGGTTTGTGGCTGTGTTGGTTGGTTATTTGGTTGGCTTGTTTGGCTTGTTGGTTGGGTTGTTGGTTGGTTGGCTGGTTGGTCGGTCGGTTGCTTGATTGGTTTATTGGTTGGTTGGTTTGGTGGTTGGGTGGTTGGTTGGTGGTATCTTAGGATCTTGTGTCCCTTTTTCGGGTGCCATGTTAGCGATCTTATTTGTATCAGAGGATCGTTGTCTACAAAAATGTGAGTGAACAACTATCATGCATGATATTCAATCCTAGGATACAACAATATGAAAAAATGAATGGTAAGGCTAGATCTATTTACGTTAGTTTCGAATATTCAATTTTTGGTGTTTTGTTTCTAGCTTTTGTCTCTTGTTCCCTCAGACTGTGCTGGTCAGTGTTAAATATTTAGATATCGATTGAGTGGTTGGCAGATGTTTTTGCTGAAGCCTGCTCCTTCTTTTCTATCAAACATCTATTATCCCACCGAATTTTATCACGACCGTCCACCCCGGCCCCACCAAAAGGGGGAAAAAAAAAACACCTAAAAAAAAAAAAAAAAAGCCAGTCCATTTCAACCTTTTAGGAGGTTTTGTCACCGCTTTAAAATCTGGGGAAAGTCTGCCCATTTGAGCAAATTTTTGTTTAGGCTAGTGCTCATTTTTCTTAGAATTTTCGTTTTGTTTCGTTTCGAACAAACTCCGATTAACACGACTTCAATTCAGTTCTATCTGAGTGATCTTATCTAAATAAAAAAATAAAAAAAATAAAAAAACCCAACTAGAGCTAATAGTCCTTAACTCGAGAGAAGCTAAAAACTGAAACCCTCCTCGATTTACACAAAGAAGAAAAAAATTAAGCGTGGGTGCCAAGTGTAATTTTAATTACGAACATTATTAGCGAAGGTTCCGAAAGCCATTCTTTACGATGTACATTGTCTTCAGGTTTGAGGTCCCACAGATGGTAGGACAGGGTATATAACTCATGCAATCATAATTATTTTGAGAGTTCAGAAATTATTCCCCTTTTTAAAAAATCTTGCCTGCGCACTGATGAAGACGGTGATTCATTAGCCACAGTGGAAGATAAAATAGATAGATAGATAGATACATAGATAGGTAGATAGGTAGATAGACAGATAAATAGATAAATAGACAGATAGATTGATAGATAGATTGGTCGATAGATAGATAGATAGATAGATAGATAGATAGATAGATAGATAGATAGATAGATAGATAGATAGATAGATAGATAGATAGATAGATAGATAGAGAGATAGATAGATAGAGAGATAGATAGAGAGAGATATATATAGATTGATAAATTGGTCTATAGATAGAAAATGATTTTGTAATATATGAATCCTGTGGCGAGAACAACATTGCCTATTGTTACCCTCTTTGTGGATCAATAAACTTGTCTTTTCCTTCCTTTCTGTTTGGTTTAAATTGAACCAAAAAAACAACAACAAAAAGAAGTGAAGTTGGTAAAGGGAAGTAATCCATTTTTATATTCATAAAGGGGTGAGAAAACAATGTTTCTTCAAAGGCATACTTTAAAGCTCTTCACTGCTGAGTAGACGTATGATCTGGCTTTGTATTCTCCACCTACATTGTTTCATCTGGTTCACAAAAGAAATTGTAGTCGGTACAGTTACAGCTTGTTATTTTACATATTCTGAAACAATTCTGTTTTTAAATATTCTTTGAATTAACGTAATTTTAATCTTGGAAGCTTTCCAGCAGTGAAGGGGTTAAGAAATTTTTTTTTGGAAGGGTTGAATAGGCTTCTGCTTTAAGACTATATCCCATTTTTCAGAATACTCGTCCCAAATGAAGAACAAATCAGTTGGAATGTGAAACATTTAATTTTGCTATTTGGGTGGTTCGCGGGTGCTCTGATGTGGTTTGCTCCTTATTTCCTATCAAACATCTATCGTATGTATCTCCCCTCCTTCTTTATTGTGTTTGTTACTCCTTTGTAACACCTCTAATCTACGGCACTTATATGACCTGATTATGTTGCAAGTGCCATAAGCTAAAACGAATTTTGCCATGTCAAATTATAAGTAGGTTTCCCCCCCCCCCCTCCCTACAGTTTCTTATTGCCTGGATACCTGCTCTGCGCTCCTTCAAGGCCACGCCATTTGTGACGTCACTGGTCTTGGCAGACCTGATGAGGGTAGGGGTGGCGGTGACCATCACTTTTCTCGTGGACCTCCAGACTCAGGTGAGTGGGTTGTTGGTGGGTGCTCTGCTGTGGTTTGCTCGATCCTTCTTTCCTATCAAACATCTAAATGAATGTCCTTATCTCTCTTCCATTTTTTGTGTATGTTGCTGTCTTGTAATATCTGTGATATTCGGCACTTGTATGATCTAATTGTGTTGTAAGTGGCGTAAAACTCTTACTAAAACTAAAGACTCAAGTGGGCTGATCATGAACAAAACTTTAAGAACAAACTCTCTGAAAAAAATACGAATGCACGTAAATAGTATTAGAAATACTCATAATAATGAACTTGTATTTCTAAACATATTTCATGATTGGCCAGCTTCTTGTACAAGTTCATTATAGAAGTGCGACACTTTGGAGAATTTCCTCGTACCACATTTAAAAAAAGCATTGTTAGCTATAGTTAAAGGCGACATTTCAAAGAAAGTAAAATCCGAGAACTTGCGAGTTACGAAAAGGACCTTTTTCTGAGAGAGAAACTATTTTATGATGAATTCTCCATTGTGAGCAATAGACAAGTATCAGTTTTCTCAAACTCTTTCTTCACTTGTTCTAGCTGGTTTCAAATAAGAAGGGTGGCGTATATTGTGATTAAAATATGTAGCAATAGCATAAACTAAAATTGTAAAAGTAAATTGGTCGCTTTTAAGGACCAGTGGGCTAACGCAGATTTCGGGGGTTTCCAGAAATCATGACCTACACCAAAAGTGGACATTGCTCTACCTGTAGGAGAAGTTTGGTTTCATTAGCTTGTAAATTTGTTTAGTCTCTCCTTGTCTTTTAAAGAAACTGAAGCTGGATCCAAAAACTTTACCTACGATTTTCTCAAAACAGCATTTTTCGGGATAGCCCCCTTGTGCTTAAAAGAGACTAAATAAGAAGTGTAGCATAAATATATCGAGATTATTTTATGTATAAACAGCATTTACTAAAAATGTAAAAGTAAATTAAGGAAAGTAATAGCACTCCATTGGGAGTTTGTAATAATATCATTATGGGGTCCTATGTTTGCCCAGCGCCAATGTAGACTCCAAGTAGGGCAGGTAGTGATGACACATAAAACTGGCTCTGTCAGGGGCCACCATCATGTACAAGTGCCAGGGGTAGAGGAAGGAGCTGCTGGTGTTGTAGGCCGCCAGCAGAACCGACGTGTGGGACGTCCACGTGACGCTGCCGTTGAGGTGGATGACGTCATCCGGCGACTTGGCCAGGCTGTAGAGGATTGTGGGCACCGTCAGGTCGGCGTGCACGCCGAACCGGGAGAACTGGTCGGCCAGAACCGTGTAGCTCTCGCGGAGTTTGGTCGGCACATAGAAGATGGCCGTGTTGCCGTGGTATACCTTGGCCTCCTGGAAGCCTTGCGCTCGCCCGAATTTCGCCAGGAAGTGCTTGACGATCGTGCTGTACTTCTGAAGGTACTGGACCATCCTGATGTCCAAGGTTCTGTTCCGGTCCACCGCGGAGAGGTGGTTGGCGATCGTTCCGGAGATGAACTCGAGGTCGTGCAGCGTGGCGTTGAGGGCGACTTTGCCCCAGGTGACGTCATACCACTCCTTCCAGCTGAGGAAGCCGCCATGGGGAGACCAGATCTCGGTGCGGCCCAGGTGCGCGGGAAATACGTAGCGGCTGATCCAGGGCTTGTCTGAGTACTTAAGCATGTCCGTCACGGTCCAGGGGTTGAGCAGCGCGTCCGAGTCGATCTGGAGGTAACCGCTCACGTGGTGGTGCATTTTCATCACCTCCGACACGCAAACGTACGGGTAGAGGCGCGTGTCCGTCGTTTTGAGTTCGATCTTGCTCATGGGCTGTGGGTACATCTTGGCGAACAGGTTGGTCGCGTCGGAGCCCGAGGTGCAGTAGACGATGTGTTTGAAGTGACGACCGTACATGAAGTCGAAGTACTGCGACATCTGGATCTGGGTCGGCGTGTCGCTGACTTTGAAGACGATGACGAGCACGATGTTCGAGATGACGGGCGGCTGGAAGGAGGTCACGCCGATCTGAGTGAAACTGCCCAGACCCCGACCGCCAGACGTCTGGTCCGTGGACTGAGTCGCGACGAGTTTTGGGTTGACTTTCGCGCATATAGCGCGGAACGGATGCTCGCTCCACACGCGGTACTCCGGAGACGGCCACGAGTAGATGTTCCTAACTCTCGGCTCGACGAAAGAGCTCATCAAGATTTGCTCGGAATCAACTCTTTGCGGTTGCGAGTAGCTGGTGGTCACGAGGTCGCTGAGGAAACTTTCCACGATGCTCAGGTGGCTATGGGTTAAAAAGGTGGAGACGCTGACCTCGTAAAACAGTTTTCGGACACAGTCGAAAACGCCTAGATCTGGCGGGCACATCCAACCGCGAAGGTACTTCAAAAACTGAGACAGGCGGAAATTTGGGGGGTCTAACTGACAGAATCGAAGCCCGACGACATTCTCGGGGATGCTGTCGTTCTCTCGAGAGTGCTCCGGCAATAGGAGGTCGTGTG